TAGAGAAGGCCGTGGGGCCGTGCTTCGGCCACGGGAACGCTACGGATGCTAACAGTGGGTTCTGGTGTTGGGGCCGGAGCGCGGTTAGGGCGATGAGTGGAATGCGGGGACCAGGTCGACGGAGGTGCGGGCGCACGACTGAGGAGGCTGCCGTGGGAGTTCAGGACTCAGCGGATGCTGGCTGGGACCAGAGTGGTGGCCACAGGACAGGGGGCATGGTGCGAGAAACGTCCACGAGGTAGAATAAATTTGGTTCTCCACGGCTTAGCCTGGATGCCAAGGAGTTTGTATTGTACAATCGGCTGCTGTATAGAGAGGTGGTATTTATTTTTGTGGACAGTATTTTGCGGAGGCGGGCAAGGATGAGATAAAGTATAGATCTGGAGATCTCCAGAACTCCAACTGGAGATATTTAGTTGCCTTTGAATATGTATTTTCTGGGAGCTCGGAAAGTAAACATGAAAGGGTTTTAAGTTTATGCCCCTCTCCGCACCGCCCCCCACCCCACCCGCAGAAAAGAAAAAGAAAAAAGTGCCAATAATGGGACCTGAGATTTGTCAACTAGGGAACTGTTGTCCACATCTTAGAAAGCAGTGTTTACTTATGGCGTTCTGTTTTAGTTTTTATTGACGATTTCATTCTGTAAACATTCATTGGAGTGTCTGCTTGGGTCAGGCACTGTTCCAAGGGCTGGAGAAATACTGAAAGCGTGGCATGCTGCAGTACGTGGGGTAGCAAAGAGACACGGCTGAGCGACTGAACAACAGCACTGTCGCAGGTTAAATTCTACTAGAGGTAGTACTCAGTAAACAAAATATTTTATTAGGTAGTGATGATACACCAAAGGACCGATGCTGAAGCCGAAGCTCCAATACTTTGGCCACCTGATGTGGAGAACTCACTCATTGGAAAAGACCCTGATGCTGGAGGAGAAGGTTACGACAGAGGATGAGATGGTTGGATGGCATCACCAATTCGATGGACATGAGTTTGAGCAAGCCCCAGGAGTTGGTGATGGACAGGGAAGGCTGGCGTGCTGCAGTCCATGGGGTCGCAGAGTCAGTCACTACTGGGCAACTGAACTGATGACACACTTAGGCTGTTAGGTTTAGAGTGTGACTGGGTGGGGAAATGGGGATTATTTTAAGTAGCATTTGGAGTTCTCTTTGAGGAGGTAACATTTGAGCAGAGATCTGAAGGCAGTAAGGAAGGAAAACATGTGAATATTTGCGAAGAGAACAGAAATGCTGACCAGAGATGGAAGCGTGCTTGGTGAGTCTGTGGTTTAACAAGGCCACTATGACAGGAGAGGGCACAGTCAACAAGCGAGAGTGGGAGAGGAGATTAGAAGGGACTAGAGGGCTTGAAGGCCATGGTAAAAAGTTTGGATTGTTCTTCATGTTATAGGAAACCATCAAAGGGGTTTGAGCAAAAGAGTGGTGTGGCTGAATACATTTTGACAGAATCACTGGTCTGCTTTGGGGAGAAAAGGCTGTGGTAGGGCTAGAGCTAATATAGGGAAAGCAGTTAGAAGGCTATTACAGCAGTGGGGTAATAGAAGGAGGAGAGAGCCTCCTACAATTATATAACCTTCCTACAAGGCATTTGCTTTGACAGCCCAAGATAATTGAGATAATTAAGGGCTCTGGATGCCATGCTAATAAGTTTGGATATTGTTCATATATATGAAAATGATAATAGAATATTTATTTAGCACTAAGTATGGGTTGGGCACTAAGCATTTTACATTAGTACTGAATGTAATCCAAAGCTGTAAGGTCTGCACTGTTAACAAATAAGAAAACAGACAGCGATATATTAAGTGCCTTGTCCAAGGTCTCATGTCTAGGGACCAGGAATCCTGCCCCTGCTGGTAGAAGAAATGTGCAGAAGTGTCCTCTCGTTGCCCAGGATGGCTGAGCACTGACACACGAGGACCCGAAGCTTCCAAAACTCCTGAAAATGTGGAACCTTCATTTATTTGACCCACTTCTCCTGCTGCTCCCTCTAAGGGTTAATATTTTACCAATTCTGGGTTATCACATCCATCTTATAAGCTTCAGTACATTTTATTCTTCCTCTCCTCCTTGTCCTCTGCCTCCCTTTGAGCCTTTAATTTTGCTACTTTTTCATTTTTCATCTGTTTTCTGCCTATCTCTCTGCTTCCTTCTTCCCCTTCATTTCTATCTCTTGAGATCAGATGGGGAACAAGAAAAACAAATATATGAAGGGAAAGGAAGAAGCTGGTGTAAGGGAGAGACATTTAAAATCTAAGTTTCTGAGGTTATAATTAATTCAGTGTTTCATTCCCCCTTAGTCCTTGCCTTTTTTTTTTTTAAACTCTGTAGAGGTTCTGTAGCCCACAGAGATCAGAATGCTGTAGTTCTAAACTCTCAAGAATCCATGGGAAACCTCCTCCATTGCTATCCAGAAATATCTTCTGTACCGATTGTTTCTTGATCACCCCTCTCCCAGTAGAAAGTTTCCTTCCTCCTGTTGAAAAAGATCCCTGTGGCCTCTGCCTCTGCCCTAGATCTGATTTCCCCACTTTGAACTGCACATTCCCTCCTCTCTTCACTTTCAGACTCTCCCATGCAGTGATAAACACGCTCAATTCTTCTGCCTTAAATCATACAAACGCTCCTGGCAGATTATTTGTTGGCTAAATCAACACCTTTCTCAATCCCCCCTTTGCTTGCCTAAACTCCACTATAGAGGCTGGAAGAGCTAAATTTTTTTTTTCAGACTCCTTGGCTCCTAGCCTCCATGCAACACACAGCAGCTATGGTCAATGAGAGGTAATCAGAAGTCTGCTGAGGGCTTCTGGGAAAACCTTTTCTGATAAAAGGCACAGATGTTGCTGGTGTTACCCACCCCCTTTCTTCCTGCTTTGAATGCAGATATTTTACGTGAACTATGGGAGCCATCCTGTGACATGATGAAAAAGTCATAACACTCAAGGCACTGAATTATTTTGCCTTTGGAACAATGCCAACCACCTCCAGATTAGTTATGGGAGAAAAATAAATCCCTGTTTGCTTGCAAGCCATTGTTATTTGGGCTTTCTGTTATTTGTAGCCAAAAGCTTTCCCTCTCTCAACCAGTCTCCCTCTAGTTACCTTTCCTAAATTTCTCCTTTGTCAATCAAGCTATTAAGTCTTTTTCAACCTTTAACTCACTCTTCAACCCACTAAAAGTTACAGAGATTATAAAATACCAAAGGCCATTTTCTATTTTTACCTTATTGTACCATTTGAAAATCTATCCATATGCTAAAATTCTTTTACTTCTATGCCACCACCTTCTCCTGATTTTTCTGTTTTTCATTTCTTTTTTTTTTTTGCTTTTTTTTTCTCCTCAGATTTTACTAATTTGACATCTCCCATTTGTGTGTGCTAAGTCATGTCTTACTCTTTATGACCCCATGGACTATATAGCCCACCAGGGTCCTCAGTCCATGGGGATTCTCCAGGCAACAATACTGAAGTGGGTTGCCATGCCCTCCTCCAGGGGGTCTTTCCAACCCAGAGATTAAACTCAAGTTTCCCTCATTGCAGGCAGATTCTTTAGCAGCTGAGCTACCAGTGAAGCTCCTTAGTTTAGCCTTCCACTTACTGCATTTAAAGACAGTACTCCCAGAATACCCTTTTGTCACCACCCTTCTACTTATTCAACTGCCTATCAGGAATCTTCATTTGGATACCGCTCACTCATAAAATGCCCCCAGACCAAACTCATCATTGCCTCACAAAGTCAGTCAACTTTTTGTGTTAATTATGGCAGCCATCCACCTAAATAAATCTGAGTTCTCACACTTAATTGATTGCCTAGATTCTGCCTTATCATTGCTTGAATTCTTCCTTTTCTCTCCCATTCCACTGCTAGTTTCTTAGTTTAGCCCTAGGAAAACAAAGATTATCTTTTTCAGTTTGATTTCCTAATCATATTTATCACCTACAAGTGAAATTGCTTTAACTACTCTCATAACTATAGATCTATAAAATCTCTCCCTATGACTGTTTTGAATATTTTATAAGTTGCAAAGATTTTGTTAATAACAAAATTTTCATTAATAACATGTTAATAATAACATTTTCATGTCTGCTAGTGTTTAGCTTCCTCTCCTTTCCACTTTGATAGTTAAAAGTACAATCCAAAGATGTGTTTGAATCCTATGTACTCTAAGACTATATTTGTTATATTGTTTTCTAAATAATTAGCTTATTAACAATAGTTTAATGACTGTTAGTGGAGAATTAAAACAGCATGCTATTGTATTCAGATCTGTACAATTATTCTGTCATCTGGTAGCAACCAGCCAATATTTCAGAGGAGAAAATAAAAGGGTGTAGGGGAGGACATGGAATGATCATAGAAGTTGGTAGAGGTACAAAATTTTGACTCAGTAGATTCAGGGAAACCAGATTGTGGAATAGGAGCATCTAGAAAACGTATATAAGATGGTGAAAAATCAAGGATTTTCAAGCATTCATTATATTTATGGGATTGTAGCATTTTAGAGCTTATAGCACTCTTGGAGCCTTCTAAATCTAAAAATCCCTCATTTACCAAATCAGGACAGTGGGACCTGGTGAAAGTAAGTGCCTTGTCCAAGTTAGTAGCAGATCAGGACTACATACCAGGTCTTTGGGCTGTCCAGTTAAGCACTCTCACATTTTCTCTCCAGTGTGAAGTCTCTGATGTCCAAAGGAGAATCTGCAGTATAATACAATAGAACTTATCTTCAGCATGAATCCTCACTGCTTAGAACATTAGTTATTTAAACCTTCTGGTACAAAGTAAGTTTTACTTTCTGAATCAAGATTTCTCTCCACTTTTATGTGGTTTCTCTGCAGTGGTCTGTATTTTCTGACATTGTATATTATACTTCAACTAAAAAATTACTGGAATCATTACATTTATTAGGTTTCTATATTACAAGACTTATCTGATTACCACTGAAGAGTTAATCATGATGAAGGGTCCCATGTTTTCCTCACGTATGAGTTCTCTGATGCCGTGTAAGATTTGTACTCCGACTGAAGGCTTTTCCACATTCATTACACTGATAGGGTTTCTCTCCTGTATGAGTTCTCTGGTGCACTATAAGGGATGAATTCTTAATGAAGGCTTTTCCACACTGATCGCATTCATAGGGCTTCTCACCAGTATGAATTCTTTGATGCTCAATAAGGTATGCGCTCTGGCTGAAGGCCTTTCCACATTCACTGCATTCATAAGGCTTCTCTCCAGTATGAATAACCTGATGTACAGTAAGGGATGATCGCCCAGTGAAATGTTTTCCACATACCATACACTCATAAGGTTTCTCTCCAGTGTGAATTCTCCGATGTTGAGTAAGAGAGGAATTCTTACTGAAAGCTTTCCCACACTGATTACATTCAAAAGGTTTTACTCCAGAATGAAGTCTCTGATGCTCTATAAGGTATGTACTTTGGCTAAATGATTTCCCACATTTGTTACATTTGTAGGGTTTTTCTCCAGTATGATTTCGCTGATGCAGGGTAAGAGCTGAGCTCTTACTAAAGGCTTTTCCACATTCATTACACTCATAGGGTTTTTCTCCAGTATGACTTCTCTGATGTACAGTAAGATGCATACTTTGACTGAAGGCTTTTCCACACTCATTACATTCATAGGGTTTTTCTCCTGTATGAGTTCTTTGATGCACTGTGAGATTCATACTTTGGGTAAAAGCTTTACCACATTCATTACATTTGTAGGGTTTCTCTCCAGTATGAATCCTTTCATGTTGAATAAGGGATGAATTCTTGCGAAAAGCTTTTCCACACTCTTTACATTGATATGGTTTCTCTCCAGTATGAGTTCTTTGATGAACAGTAAGGTTCATGCTCTGACTGAAGGTTTTCCCACATTCATTACATTTGTACGGTTTCTCTCCAGTGTGAATTCTTTGATGTACAGTAAGGGAGGAACGTTCAATGAAGTGTTTCTCACATACATTACACTTATAGGGTTTCTCCCCCGTATGAATTCTCTGGTGCTTAAGAAGAGACGAACTCTGGCTGAAGGTTTTCCCACACTCATTACATTCATAGACTTTCTCTCCTGCAAACATTCTTTGAGTTTTAATTAATTCAACATTTTGTTTACCGTCTTTTCCATGTGAATTCCAATTGTGAGGACTTTTCCCCACAGGAATAGTTTGTTGTATATCAATGATTGAACCCTGACTGGAACATCTTTCAAGTTCATTACCTCCACATGTCCTTCGCTCAGTGAGGGTTTCCTTATGGGTAATGTGCACTTGGCCCAGATGTCTATCCTGGTTTTCCTGTTGCCCCTCTAACCAATTATCAGGTTCCCAGGTTTCCCGTAAAGAAGAATGCCAGAGACCTTCCCTTTCCATTATTACCCCATAAGATAAATCTTCAGTAACTTGGGCTTCGTAGTTGACTCTTTTGTTTCAAGTCTTGGTCTTCTAGTCTGAAAAAAATAAAAATTCAAAATTGTTTCTATACTAGGAGACTGAAAACTGTATAAGATGGGAATGAGAGAACACAACTGAGAATAACTATATGGCACATTTGAGAGCAAGGATGTCCCTATAATTAGGAAGAGAATTGGAAGGGAGGGAAAGAACAGTGAGCCACCCATAAATAACAGGGGAACTAGAAGCAGGGTAAGCAGAGGAAAGAGTGAGCCTATGCAGGAGGGACAGATACTGAAGTCACTGACTGTTGGACAAGGCTAAAGAAGGAAGATGGAACTAAGGGAAGATATACAGACAAGCTGGGATTAGGAGAGGCAGATCAAAAAGCCATGGCACATTTACCAGCAGTTTCTTCTCTCCTGCAGGCTGCCTGTAATTCTGATGTTAAATCTTCATAAAACATAATGTGATATAGTGAAAAGATCGTTTACAATGGAGGCAGACAAACTTGGGTTTAAACACTGGCTGTTAACACTTAGCCTCTTAAGTACTTACTTGTTTCTCTGAATCTGAGTTTCACAGATATAAAATGAGGATGCAAATAATCTCATAAGGACTAAGTAAATTAATGTATATAAACTACCCTTAGGGTACATACCTGTCAGGAAGATAAAGTATCAGAACATACTTGAAACTTAAACTCTCAAGGGAGGATGGCACAGTCTCAAAGCTCCTCCCTTCTGCCCAAGGAGCCTGATTTTCTCACTGTGTTTAGGGAAGAGAATCCTAAAGGGCCCTACCCTTTCCTAAACACCCATTCCTTGAAGATAAGAACTAGTGGCAGAGGCAGGCGGGGGAGAATCTGTTGAACTGCTTGAAATGGGGCAGGAGGGAAGGCCTTGTAACCACTCAGACTTTGTTTTCACTGATCCCATTTCTTATCCCAGACAAAATGGCCTGGAGGCAATGAGAGGCAGAGGACAGGAAACTACAGTCTGAGAATCCATTTGTCAGGTTGATCAAAATTACCAGAGCAGAGATCAACAGTGAACCAAGAGATCAAAGGCCTACGGGCAGGAGGCTTTACTGTGAAAGCAAAAGATATGCATGAACTGGACTTTATCCCTCTAATCTGACCCAGTTACACAGAAGAAGAGAAAAAGTGGAAAGCCGAGCAGGGTCCACCTCTAAAACACACACAACCACCAAGTAACCTCAAAGAAGACCTATCCTGTCAAGTGTGAAGTGCCAAGTGCTACCCAGTAAACAACACAGAGGACACAGGGTATATATTCACACTGTTGGACAAAGTCCAGAGAGACAATACTATTGAAAGGAAAGTGACACACAGAAAATGAAAAATTTGGAAACCAGAGGCTCAAGAAATGTTTAAAATAATAAAAGTAGGAGAACAAGGGCGGAGCATAAAAATCAAATGGGAGAATAAACTTTGGACGACTAAATTGGTCCCAAGCATCAGAAGACAAAAAAAAAAAAAAAGTACATACTAGAGAAGGTATTTGTAACACATCACTCAGTGACTCAACACACAGCAAATGGTACAGGTCTCATGAGACTCAAGGACCTCTGAAGTCGTTTCTCCCCAAGGTGACACTCATAAAACAAGTCTTTGCAACCTGATCCTTACCTGGGGAGATGCACCCAGAATGTTCTTTTGTCATCAGGTTCAGTTCTCAATCCAGCTGAGAAATCACATTTGGTTTGGAAAGCTGATGTCCTGCTCGGGAAGAAAGACACTACATTTGAGTTCTGAACTGAGCATAAAAATCACTCCCAGCATGTCTTATCCCTTCCCTTTCAGGGCTTCTGAGAGTGTGTGGCTTCTGAGAGTTCCCATTTTTCCATTCTCTACAGAAAAGACCTTTCATCTTGAGAGGACAATAACGAACTACCCTAAAATAATGTCCTGTGGTATCAGGATTTCAAGTACAAATTCAAAAATTCCAGAGGCTGTACAAGCTGTCAGTGGTAGGAAAGATGGTAATATGTAGGTTTTGAGTTACAAGAAGTCCTTACCCAGTGAAGTCCTATAGTTTCTCAGCATCACTTTCCCATACAGGTTCCTCTGAGAAGAATCTAGATGGACCCACTCCTCCCAGGTGAAGTCCACAGACACATCCTTGAATCCTGAAACTATAAATTCCTGCTTAAAAAAGAATTATGCCAATAACACTCTCTGAGGGAAGTAAAAGAAAAATAACAAAAAACAAGCAGCATTAGATGGGACAGGATAAAGAGATCTGTGAGAGAAAATGTTATCTTCCAAAAGAAACAACCTCTGCACAAAAACAGACATTATTATAAAACAATCAGGGACAGACCTAAGGAGTAATAGGGAAAGACATTGAAGGCTGCTCTAGATTAGCAGTGGAGAAGAGGAGATGGTATTCTGATTGTATCCTATTCACCTCACTGATGAAAGGACGGATCCCCCACCCTAAACAGCACAGGATGACCAAATACATGACACACAGCACTGGAGAGAAGACGTTGACAGCAGTTATTAGTCACATATTCTCACAACCTGGGGAAGGACACTCCACACCATGCAAGACCATTTGGTGGTTGTATTCAGAAAGAGTGAGCCTGCATGGGCTGTGGGAGGCAGGCTCTGTACTGACAGGACAGTGTGGTCCTTGGCTACCATGGGAAGGTGTCATTGGCTTGTTAAAACATTTTCAAGCTGGTAGGAAGATAAAAAACCATTAGGTTGAAGATTAGTACAAGTGTACCTGGCCAGAATGACAGGAGCCAGCTGGGTGGGGAGCCTTTCCCACTAGGTGGGTGCATATCCAGTGAGAGCAGGGGAACTCACAGCTAGGTCTCTGGAGCTCCCTAAGGTTCAAAGCTGTAGAGACAGCACATGGAATTTTAGGCTTTACAATAACTGGGTGGAAACTCCAGTTAGTGGGGGGAAAGCATGTGTAAATAGGATAAATTTAGAATGTGGCTGGTCTGTGAGACAACCAACAAAACACCCAGCTTGACTTGAAAATGGTATTTCAAACTTATAAGCCCATTTGGGCCTTGTTTTCCATCTCTTAGATGAGGAAATAAAACTGTAAGAAATCACTATGTTTGATGAGTGTGATGGTTAATTTCACGTGTCAACTTGACTGGGCTAAGGTATGATCGGAGAGTTGGTAAAGCATTATTTATGGGTATTTCTGTAAGAGTGCTCCCATTTGAATAGGTAGATTGAGTAACAAAAAAGGTGGAAGGGCAGCATCCAATCCACTGAGGGCCCACACAGAACAAAAAGGCTGAAGAAAGGTGAATTTGCTCTCTCTGCTTGAGCTGAGATAGCCATCTTCTCCAGCCCTTAAACATAGCTCTCTTAGTTCTTGAGCCTTCAGACTCAGACCAGGACTTAGACCACCAGTCACTGGATCTCACACCTCTTGGTTAGGAGTGGGACTGCAGCCCTGGGTTTCCTGGGCCCTCTGCAGTGCAGATGGAAGGCCATGGGAACGCTTCATCCTCCATAACTGTGTGAGCCAACTCATCATAACCTCTCTGCATATCTACATATATCCTATTGGCTCTCTTTCTCCGGAGAACCCTAACTAATACAAGGAGGGAACACTAACTGAGTGGCAGTTACACTAAATGATAACTCACCTTGTACTCATTTTTTTACCAAGAGGAGATTCATATGCCTCAGCTCATTTAACCCAAAGGACAACCTGCCAAAGTGATAGAATTAAAGTCATCATTTTACCGATGAGGAATCTGAAGATCAAAAAGGTTAATACATTCAAGATCATACAGCTTGAACCCAAGGCCATCCAACTCCTCATGTTGTGAGGAGAAGGCCAAGAAAAGATCCCAGCAACTCTCAGCAAGCGCAAGAGTGAAAGAAAGACAGAAAGGGAGATGGAAGCAGACTCAGGACTGAAACTTGGGGGAGAAAGGGTTTCAAGGAAGAGGGGTTAGTCAACACTATCAGGAGTCAGGTAGGTTGGATAGCATGATGGTTGAAAAGAACGTCTGATTTGAAAATGAGCTAATTTCATAAGAATGATGAAGGAAGAAGTCAGCTTACAGTGGATAAAAGAATAAATGGAAGATGAGGAATCAGAAGCAGCCAGATGAAATTACTTCAAACTTTTTGTGAAGATGAGTAATAAGACTATGAAAAGAAATAAGGAATAAGTTGTGGAAATAAAGCAATGGAAAAGGTTGCATTTAAGGACAGAGAGCACTGTAATATGTGTATAAGTAAAAGAGAGAAAAGGACGACAAGTTCAGAGATGGAATGAAACCAATTTCCAAGCAATGTGGCTATTTTACATCCTACTGGCTTAGAACTTTAGAAAAAGTGTCAACCCTGAGGCACAGAGTTTACTATATTTCTTTCTACCTCATTATTTATTTTCTCCTAGTACTTTTAAATCAACATATCAAAATAACAAAAACATGTTAAAAATTATTGACAAATATTGTCAAGAAAAGTAAAAGAAGCTATTTGTTGTTCAGTCACCAAGTCATGTCGGACTCTTCGCAACCATGGACTGTAACACGCCTGGCTTCCCTGTCCTTCACCATCTCCCAGAGTTTGCCCAAGTTCATGTCCGCTGAATCAGTGATACCATCCAACCATCTTATCCTCTATCACCAAAAGTAGCTACTAGTAGTATATAAATATATGGCAGAAATTCCATTTTATGAAAGGAAAAAAAGAAATGAGAAAAATCATCAGTTTGAAAAATGTTCTAAAGGAAAGGGAAGAAACAAGAAAGCATAACAATGATAAATCATTAAATAACAAAAGACTCAATACATGTATAACAACAAATGTAAATGGGTTTGCTTTATCTATTAAAAGAGAAAAGCAGTAAAATTGGCTTAAAATACAATTATATGGCACATACAAGAGGCCCTGGAAAATTACATGGACAGAGGAGCCTGGCGGGCTATAGTCCATGGGGCTGCAAAGAGTCAGTCACAACTGAGCAACTAACACATATATACATATAAGAGACACACATAAAACACAAACCAAGAAGTTTTAAAAAGTGGGGATGCTAGAGAAAAGACATGGCGGCTCAGTGGTAAAGAATCTGCCTGCAATGCAGGAGATACAGGAGATACAGGAGATTCAGGTTCAACCTCTGGATCGGGAAGATCCCCTGGAGAAGGAAATGGCAACCGACTCCAGTATTCTTGCTTAGAGAATCCTATGGACAGAGGAGCCTGGTGGGCTACAGTCCATAGGGTAACAGAGTCAGACATGACTGACTGACTGAGCACGCACACACACAGACAAGATACAGCAGGCAAAAGCAAACAAAAAACAGAGAGGAGACCATATCAATAACAGATAAGGTAGAATATATGTGGAAATAAAATATAAGTCCCTTTGTGAAAAAGGTAATAGATCATAAATATGATACCCTCTTTCTGGGCTTCCCTGGTGGCCCAGTGGTTAAGAATCCACGGATCAATGCAGGGGACACAGGTTCAATCCTTGGTCCGGAAAGATTCTACATGCCGTGGCGCATCTAAGCCCACAAGCCATTATCTACTGAGCCCAGGCACTGCAACTACTGAAGTCTGCGTGCCCTAGAGCCTGTATTCTGCAATGAGAAGCCACTGTAATGAGAAGCCCATGCCCCCCAGCTAAACAGTAGACTTTGCTCACCACAACTAGAGAAAGCCGCGTGCAGCCACAAAGACCCAATGCAGCCAAAAAATAAAACAATAATAAAATTCATTTTTAAAAAAATGCATGAAAAAGCAATAATAAATATGATATTCTCCTTCCAAAAAATTAACCTACTTTCAATAAGTTAATAATAAGGCAAAATTTAAAGCCCAAATTTAGACTCTGATGGGTTATATGTTGGTCTTCTCTACCTTCCTAGATTCTTCTCATTCCCTTCAATGCAGAACCTACTACCCCCTCCACTCCTGCCACAGGCCGCAGAGCTTGTCCCTACTATGAAGCATACTATGGAACCCTGGGTAGATTAGTATAGAAAGCCATTTTAAAAAGCTAAAGTGAAACAACTGTATCAATCATAAAATATATTTGATGCTAATCTCTTAAGATGTTTTCTCCCTTTCTCCTTTCCACTTATTATGGGTTTTTTTCTCCCCAGCACTACATTAAGCTCATGGTAAATCATGGTATTTGAAATAAGCAGCTTCCTAGGTTTATCTCCTTCATGCAGAGGTTTCCTCAAATATAAGACACAGAGTTTCTTGATATTGTTATTCTTTAAAAAGGCCAAACATCAAATGGAATAAATAGGAATATTTTAATAATGAAAATATACTTTATAAAGAAGATACAATGTGGGGATGCTAGAGAAAAGACATGGCGGCTCAGTGGTAAAGAATCTGCCTGCAATGCAGGAGATACAGGAGATACAGGAGATTCAGGTTCAACCTCTGGATCGGGAAGATCCCCTGGAGAAGGAAATGGCAACCGACTCCAGTATTCTTGCTTAGAGAATCCTATGGACAGAGGAGCCTGGTGGGCTACAGTCCATAGGGTAACAGAGTCAGACATGACTGACTGACTGAGCACGCACACACACAGACAAGATACAGCAGGCAAAAGCAAACAAAAAACAGAGAGGAGACCATATCAATAACAGATAAGGTAGAATATATGTGGAAATAAAATATAAGTCCCTTTGTGAAAAAGGTAATAGATCATAAATATGATACCCTCTTTCTGGGCTTCCCTGGTGGCCCAGTGGTTAAGAATCCACAGATCAATGCAGGGGACACAGGTTCAATCCTTGGTCCGGAAAGATTCTACATGCCGTGGCGCATCTAAGCCCACAAGCCATTATCTACTGAGCCCAGGCACTGCAACTACTGAAGTCTGCGTGCCCTAGAGCCTGTATTCTGCAATGAGAAGCCACTGTAATGAGAAGCCCATGCCCCCCAGCTAAACAGTAGACTTTGCTCACCACAACTAGAGAAAGCCGCGTGCAGCCACAAAGACCCAATGCAGCCAAAAAATAAAACAATAATAAAATTCATTTTTAAAAAAATGCATGAAAAAGCAATAATAAATATTATATTCTCCTTCCAAAAAATTAACCTACTTTCAATAAGTTAATAATAAGGCAAAATTTAAAGCCCAAATTTAGACTCTGATGGGTTATATGTTGGTCTTCTCTACCTTCCTAGATTCTTCTCATTCCCTTCAATGCAGAACCTACTACCCCCTCCACTCCTGCCACAGGCCGCAGAGCTTGTCCCTACTATGAAGCATACTATGGAACCCTGGGTAGATTAGTATAGAAAGCCATTTTAAAAAGCTAAAGTGAAACAACTGTATCAATCATAAAATATATTTGATGCTAATCTCTTAAGATGTTTTCTCCCTTTCTCCTTTCCACTTATTATGGGTTTTTTTCTCCCCAGCACTACATTAAGCTCATGGTAAATCATGGTATTTGAAATAAGCAGCTTCCTAGGTTTATCTCCTTCATGCAGAGGTTTCCTCAAATATAAGACACAGAGTTTCTTGATATTGTTATTCTTTAAAAAGGCCAAACATCAAATGGAATAAATAGGAATATTTTAATAATGAAAATATACTTTATAAAGAAGATACAATAGTGATGAAGTTTTAGACACCACAGTAGCACAATGTTTTCAGATATAATTCTCAGCAACCCAGTGTCTTAATTTTTTTTAACCAAGTCACAACTCTGGTTAAATCACAATCACAATAGCAACAAAAATTGAAACACCTCAGAATACACTGACTAGGAATAAGCAAGATCCTCATGATGAAAGTTAACAAAAGCCATAATGAAAGATCTGAATAAAAGGGTAATTTTTTTTTACTCAATAGGAAGAATATTGTAATGATGGTAATCTTCCTCAAATTGATATAGTTAGTGAACCCAAATCAAAACTGCATATTTTTTAACAGTTTCTGCTGAATTTGATAATAGTTAATAAAATAAAATTTGACCCTAAGGATAAATGTATATGAATAGTACAGTAACCAAAGGAGGTGGGGATGTTCTTTATAAAGTAACTAAATTTTAAAACAAATAAAATAGAGTGGTACTACAGTAGAAATAGAGCAACAGAACAGAATTCAGAAAAATAAACTCAAGTGTGTATGTATATGTATCTGAATGTTATATGTAAACATTTTATATACATATATAAATTTAGTGTATTATCTAATTTAGTGTAAATTTAGGTAGTATCTCAAATCTATCAAGAATAAGCAGAGTACTCAATATATTATTTCAGTAGGTGCACAACAGTTTGAATGCCATCTCCTCAAACGTGCCAACCCAGTGCTGCCTAACTAAAGCAGACTCCGTGTCACACTCAGCTGGGCCACCCTATTGTTTGGTGACCACAGCATGTAACAACATCCTCAGTGGTATTTCCTCTTCTTCATTGCTGCCTCCTCTTTCTAGAAGAGAAAATCAAGGAGGAAAGGGCTTTGTCTGTTTCATTCACTACTACCTTCCCATCATCCAGAACATTGCTTAGCACATGGTAGGCAGGCACTAAAAATCTGTTTAATCAAAAGATGGATGATGAAATGCCTCACCACACCATATTAAATGAAGTTAGATTCCAACCTCATATGTATACAATAAATTCCAGATAGCTCAAGAAACTAAATTTAAAATGATAAAAACCAATAGAAAATGTAGAAAAGTATTTCTATAAACTTAGGCTACAGAAAACCTTTCATAGCAATAATTCCAAAGCCAAACAAAGGAAAAGAAATGTTAACTGCATAAAACTTTATTTGTAGCCAAAGATTATAAAAAATTTTAAAAGAAAGCTGAATGACAGGGAACAAGAATGGCGATTTATGGCAAAGGACTAATATCCACTTCTTTTATATATAAACAACTCAACATAAAAATGGACAAAGGACACAAAATGGCATCTTAAAAGGCTAGAAGAATGTACATCCACAGTCATTTTTGAGAATTTGAGACCTAGAAGTATATCTTATAACCTTATCACCTTAATTTTTTTTACAATTATATGCTTAATATTTATATTCAGAAAAAGAAGATAAAACTTAAAGGCAAATGCAAGTTATACTTGGGCAATTCACAGTCACACAACTGGTTAGTATAGGAAAGATGGAAATACTAGGAAAGATGAAAGAAGGAATACAGTTCTAACACTGCACTGATACATCCTAAATCAATCACTATACTCTTTGAAAGTGTCAAGGTCATCAAAGACAAAAACTGAGAAACTGTTCCAGATTTAGGGAGACTAAGGAGACAGGACATTTAGATGCCAGGTGAGAACTGGATTAGTTCCTGGATCAGATAAAGGACATTTGTGGCAAAACAGGACTAAGATCCCAGGTTTAATCCCTGCGTCAGGAAGATTCCCTGGAGGAGGGCATGGCAACCCACTCCAGTATTCTTGCTTGGAGAACCCTATGGACTGAGGACCTTGGCAGGCTAC